GCATAGAAAATCAGGGATCAGGTATTTGAGCAAGGACAGAAATGGTCAGAATGAACTTATAGAAGGTAGCAGATTTGAGATGAGTCCATGTGGTCAAACTTCAATAATAAGGGGCATTTAAAACAGCAAAGAGTAGGATATTCTTGGAAGAGGGAAAGGCCACACACAAATTTGGAAGTAAACATGTATAAGAAAGAAACAGCGAGGAAATAGGCCTATGAGAAGCACATAGGGTAGGAGGGTATCATAAAAATTAGTTTCAAATTCCATTATGTTGATTGTCTACACAACTTAAGCATCTTGGACAATCTAACTTCATTAATACAGATAAGAAACCCTTCTTTCCCTCTGTGCTTGAACTCAAGTTTTACATAATTTACGACAACTCATAGGCTCAATTGCAAACCCCAAAACTACAATCTCTTAACTGACCAAACCAGATGACTATGTATAAATTCTAGATTTGATGATTTAGTGCTTAGTGACAAATGGAGAGTCATTATTGTAGACACACAACGTAGTACAACAAACATTGTCTTAGGAGCCACACAAAAACTAGATTCAAACCATTGTTATAACACTTAGTTCCTGGAACGCTTTACTTGATCTCTTTGAATTTCAGTTTCCAAATCTATAAAATATAAAAATAATAGCAATACATACATGCATACTTTATACTGAATTTTGAAGATTAAATGAGGTGACAAATATAAACTTCCTGACACATAGATGCTAATGATGAATGAGTGAACAATATTTGTAAATTTTTTATATTAGTAAAGAACATGTTTTAAATGGATTGATTCATAATTATATAATGGTGTGATTCAACTTAGATACAGCATAAAAAATTATAATATAGTACAAGACATTTATGTTTTTCTGTACAAAGAGGTGGAATTTGAAAATTGTGACTAATTTTTCCTAGACATAGAACTGGTTAGCAATGTGATGGATCTGAAGGATACCTTAAGATGTGTTCCTGGGGGCCCCAATGTCTCCCTTAAAGTTTATTCTCTAATGACTCTTGCAGGGACATTAATCTCATGTCAATCACTCACGTTTAGTGTGAATTATGTGTTCAGATCATTTATCTTCTCTGAGGAACAAGAAATTGAAGGTAAAGAGAAGGTTGGACCATTTTGAAGTAATGAACACTCATTGAAGACTGAGATGACTAGGAGCGCAAGCTATGCCAGGAGGGTCCTGGGAGCCTTCTTCTGGTGAGAAATGGATACCTGAAGAGAGAAAATAGGGCACAGGATGGACTCACTGACAAATATCAAGTGATTTCCCTTAGCCTCTGTCTGGTTTAAGTGACACTGTTCCCTGTATGTAGGCCCTCATTTCCATGAAATGTCACACAAATGACTTTTCGTTTTTTGGTGTCATCTCACAAAGTAAAATTCTCTAAGATGAGAAAGTGAGGTTCAAATGATCTCACCAGGTGGCCTAAGGAAATCTGAGAACAGAAATGATTCCTTCAAAAGATACTGAAAAAGAAATACACAATGAAATGTAGAATTGTAGAGGGTGTTAATAGAAAATAAAGCATTGCAACTGGTTTGAATAAATCAGTTCCTTTAATTTTTTAACACTATTTATTATTACTACTTATTTATCATTACTCACTATTATTATTTATAATTACGCTTTCTGTCTTTTATCTAAGAAATTCAAGATATAATGTGCCTTTTTGGTATGGAAAAACTTTAGTTTACTGTTCTGATTTTCTTGAGTCATTATAGGTAATATATATTTAGAAACTTAGATTTTTTAAAGAGAAGAATATGCTTTCTTATTTACATTAATACAGTGAGTATTTGTGAAAGAATTATTTTCCTTAATGGGAAAAGGAAAATCAGACTTCATTATTATGGAATTAGAAATGAGATCTAAATGCTAACCATAGATTACATAAGAATGAGGCTACTTGTGTTGAGACATTTACGATAAATTATAGAAGTGCTAAGAATGTGCTTTCCTTGTGTTTAAAGCTAAGTGCATAGTAGTTGTTGATGTGAGGTTTACTAGATTATTAATTCAAAATACAATGTGAAACAAACCAGAGTCCCTAGCTCCAAGAATTTTCTCTTTTTTAAAGTTGTAATTTTAAAGATGTGAAGTACAATTCAGGGTTAGGTATACAAATGTTCATTATGGAGGTACCCTTGTTGATGAGGTGTGCCCCTCCCACCCCAGCAGTTTCCCACTACTGCCAATCCTTTTCTTATAGTATTATGGTAATTGTTCAAGTTCTGCTTATGAGTAAGAACATGTGATACTCAGTTCTTTGTTTCTGTGATAGATCATTCAGTATTACAGATTCTAAGTGCATCCAAGTTGCAGTGAAGTTCATAATTTTGTCCTTCTCTATGACTGTGTAATATTTCATTGCACATATGTACTACATTTTTTAAAATCCAATTTCTTTCAATGGGCAGCACAGTTGGTTCATGTTTTTGCTATTGTGAATAATGCCGCAATAAACATGCCTGTGCAGGTATATTTTTCATAGAGTGATTTTCTCTGGGTTTATTCCCAGTAGGGGGATTGTCGGGTCATATGGAAGTTCAATTTTTAGATATTTTAGAAATTGGAACTGTTTTCCACAGAGGCTGTACTAGTTTACACTCTCAGCAACAGTGCAGAAGTGTTCGCTTTTCCCTGCATCCTCTCCAGCATCTGTTGTTTTTTGAGTTATTAATGATGGCCATCCTGACTGGAGTCAGGTGATATTTCAGTGTGGTTTCAATTTGAATTTCTTTGATGACTAGCGAGGCTGAGTATTTTTTCACGTATCTATTGGCTGCTCGTATGTCTTCTTTTGAGAAGTGTCTATTCATAACTTTTGTCCACTTTGTAATGAGGCTGTTTGTTTTTTTCTTTTCAGCACGGTTGAGTTCCTTGTAGATCTTTGATGTTAGGCCTTTGTCAGATATACATTGGCAAATAATTTTTTCCAGTCTGTGGTCTGTCTCCTTGCTCTCTTCGTGGTGTCTTTGACTCTGCAGAAGTTTGTCAGTCTGATGAGGTTCCACTTGTCTATCTTCTCTCATGGCATGGGCACATGGGGTTTTGATCAGGAATTGGTTGCCAGTTCCAATTTCCATAAGGGTATCTCCTGCATTTTCTAACCCAAACTGTTAAAAACATAGAAAAGAAGCTTAAAAAGAGAGAGCAAAACCTCTAAGAGATGAGCAATTATATCTAGAGGCCAAACCTAAGATAAATTGGACTCCCTGAGACAGATAGAAAGACAGAGACCACCCTGGAACAAACATTTCATGAAAGTATCCAAGAAAACTTCCCTCATCTCACCAGTGATGTGGTCATTCAAACACTAGAGATTTAGAGAATCCCTGCAAGACAACAAATGAGAAATCAACTCCTAGACACATGGTAATTCACCTACACAAAGTAGGTATAAAAGAAAAAATCCTAAAGGCAGCAAGAGAGAAAGTTCAGACTACCTAACAGGGAAGATCAGTTAGAATAGCAGCAGACTTATCTACAGAAACACTTCAGACTAGGAGAGATTGGAGTCCAATCTTCAAAGTTCTAAAAGATCAACAATTTCAACCAAGAATCACCTACCCAGATAAGTTTTATCAGCAATGGAGAACTAAAATCCTTCCCAGACATTCAATTTTTAAGAGTTTTCACTAGCCGGACTCGGTGGCTCAGCCTGTAATCCTGCGCCTTTGGGAGGCGGAGGTGAGTGGACTGCCTGAGCCTACGGGTTTGAGACCCACCTGGGCAACTTGGCGAGACTTCATCTCTACAATAAATCAAAAATTAGCTGGGCATGGTAGCATGCGCCTGTAGTTCCGGCTACTTGGAAGACTGAGGCAGAAAGATCGCCAGAGCCCAGCAAGTCGAGGCTGCGGTGGCCGGGAGCAACCACTGCACTCCAGTCTGGGAGACAGAGTGAGACTCCAACTCAAAAAAAAAGAAAAGAGTTTTCACTGCTTCAGGCCAACTCTAGAAGAAACACTTAAGAAAGTATTAAACACAGAAGAAAGGAAAAAAAAAAAAAAGAATGATAGCGCCCTTCCCACAATGCAAGAAAAAAGAAGTATTTTCAAAATATATCTTCTATATCACTGTTGGAAAAGTCCCCATCCTCACACGTGTTCTTGTGTTTATAGGCTCAAGTGCACACACACACACACACACACACACACACACACACACGCGCGCACTTGTATGGTCTTAATGACTCATCTCTATGTTGATTCACTGATAATTATGTAGTCAGTATCAGCACAATAGTATCGACTCAAGCCTGCAAAGGTTTTAAAGTGGAAGACTTAGATAAGACTTTATGGTTCCTTATCAAAAGGGGCAATGAGTTCAAGAAATACACAGAATTTTGCTTTCAAACAATAGGGGAAAATTGCCATAAATTTTGCAAAAGTCTGTCTCAATACATTATCTGAGAAGCCCCAGGAAAATCCATCTGTACCAAAAAAAAAAAAAAAAAGACTCCCTTTCACATTGTTATGCTCAGAAATCCCTACTATTAGAGTTGTTATTTCAATTTACACACTGAAAATGTACTTCCTTAGTGTGGGCAGTGGAGACAACCTGTGGAGGCTTGCTCAGGACACCACAGCAGTGTGATCACTACTCTGGTTAGGGAGCCTAAAAGTCAGAGGACATCAAAAGGGATAGAGGGTCCTCACAGAGAGCAAACCTGACTAGCTTCATGATTTTGCCTTCTCTAGGTCTTGTCCAGTCCATATTCCAGTTGATATGAGCAAGGAAAGTAAGGAAAGAACAGTTTTACCTTTGAAAAGCAACATGAGCAAATGGTCTCTGATTTCTCACAAACGCCCTTGGGCTTATCTCTTCATGTTAGTTGTGATAGTAAAACAATAAAAAATGAGATTTAATTTTAACTCATGTGGGTCCGTCTAGGGCAGTGAGTGGAGATAATAGGCTGGAAAATATTAATCCAGGTTGGTTATTTAACGTCTGCTTTGTTTGTGGAAGGACACTATCAGAGGCACCTGCTTGGGGCAATGAAATTCCTCGGTTACATGTTGGTTTATCGCCGGCTTCTCCTTGTGGTTTTCACTCTTTTGGTTTTACTGCCATTGCCTGTCATCCTCCGCAGCAAGGTGAGTGAATATAGAAGATGGACTGGTGGATTTCCTCACTTAGTCTAATCGTCTTTTATTTTTTGCTATCTGATTGCCTGGCTCAGAGCTGAGTGAGTGTTGATACTTTTAGTCTACAGTCAGGATGTGGTTGCGTATCATGTTTTGTCCATTTTCCCCTTTTAAAATGGTTAACATTGGTTGATTCTCAGAAATATTCAATCAGAATTGTTCTCTCTGCTGGAAAACTAGATGAGAAGAAGAATGAAAGAAGTACAGCCCTTGAGATTTGGCAGTTCAGGTTGTCAGCCTCCAGGGAGCATCCTGGGTTAGCACAATCCTCCCCTGATAATAGAGGTAGATGAGCAATGGAAGTTCTAGGGTTCAGCATGGAATAATTTACTTGTCAGCTCTGTGACTTGGTCACAGAACTTCCTGGAAATTTAGTCTTCTTGTGGGATAAGAAGACATTGAAAGCATGAAGTAATCTTCCTTGGTTAATCAGAAAATCTAATAAATCATTGTAACTTGTTTTGATAATTTCAGATTTTATTTCATTTAGGTGTACTAGTAAGCATTTTTCTATTTGCTTTTAAAAGTAGTCAATCTATTAAGTCCAGAATAATAAGCTCAATGCATTTTTAATTCCTTGGTAAAGTGATCTGAATCAGCATTTAGTGAGCTTGTTCTTTGTGCTGTAGGGACAAGTATCACTTCGTGGTAAGAGGACAGGCTTTGGAGCTGGACTCTCTGCTTTCGGGTCCTAGATTTACCAGTTATAAGCTGCATGACTTGGGCAAGATACTTAAACTCTCTGTGCTTCTGTGTTCTCATATGTAAGATGGGGACAGTGGCAGGCTTGTTGTGAGGATGAAATGAATCAACATTCATAAAGCACTTACTTGGAGCAGTGCCTGGCACACATAGTGAGTGGGCAGTGTGAGTCTTCCTAAGTGTGTTGAGTTCCCACCTGGGGCATTTCACGGCACCCCCATGGTGACACACAATCTTTTCTCTTAGTGGAAGAAAACCTTGCTGACATTCTTCTGCATAATATGCATTAATCAAGTTTATCCCTGTCTGGGTAGAAATAGAACCACATTAATTATAATATTATAAAATAATATTATTATATAGTAATATTGTAATTATATAATTTAATTTATTATCACCATAGTATAATTAACTATGTTATGATACAATAAGGATATAATTATTATTATATAATAGTTATAATATTCCAACCTCCGTCAGAAGTCGTTGCCACTGATCTGGGATCTCTGAGGGGAATCATGTGTCCTAACGAATAGTTCTTTTGGACACTGCCAAAGTCTCCTCCACGTGCAAAGCTGGAGCAGGGACTGGCCCCTGCTGCGACAGCCATGGGTTGTTTCTTGCCAGGTGTGATCACCCAGCTGCAGCACCCCATGCTAGGTCTTTCCTTATGCTGAGACCTCAGTGCTCCATGGAAGGAGGGAGAATACTTCCCATCCCTTTTGGCTCAGTATCGTTCTGGACCCTCAAAATCTTACAGAATGTGTAATGAAAACAGCAGGCAAAGTCCGTTGATTTTGACTTTGCTTTTCCAATTCTGTGTGAGTAACCCTCCCTTTCCTACCTTGCCACTCTCAGCCCAGTTACTTGTGAGGACTTATATATGACTCTCTGGCAGTGACATCAGGTGACAAATTTGAGTCACAGACCCAGGGCTCTATTCTGAATTTTCACTCTAGCCCCCTTCAAGGAATGTTACTTCATCTACTACACAAGCTGACCTTTCCTTTCCAGCTCCCCTGGTTCCACGGGTCAGCTAGATGCAGCTGAATTCTAGCATGAGCACATTCTGGTTCATACCTGGAGCCCTGCTATATTTCAAGATTTCTCAGTTAGTCTCATCAGCATAGGTCCTTATTGTAATAGGAAAAAAAATCCTCTCATTGACATTAATTGAGTTTTAACAAATGAGTTGATTAGAAGGGAAGGAAGGGGGGACAGAGAAAATACAAAATTAAACTCATCAAGACAAACAGACCATGGCTATCTATCATTTGTGATGCCCCTTTGACATATAAATACATAACACTTTGATTATCCTTCCTAATTTTCAGAAAAAAATGAATGTAAAACTCTTTAGAAAACAGGCCGGTACATAAAAAGCAATGGTTTCAATGCATGATTCATTAATTGGGAAATGTACTATTGTTAAGGAATACAGCCATTGATTATTTTTTCCAAGATGTATAACAAAAGAACATTAGATCTATGAAGAAGCCAGGTGCCTGGCACCAAGTTGTATTTGGTGAACTGTATTCCTCTTTCCTTCCCATTTAATCAAGCAGGACTTTTTTCAAAGAAGGTGGGTCTTTGGAGGGTATAAAATTGAAGGACAGTCTAACTTTAATATGAATGCAAATCAATTTATATTAACTTTTAGTTACCAAACTGAAAAACTCTATGCTTCTGGAGACATAGTCATAGATTAACTGAAGAATTCTGTCCCAAGGTTATCTTTTAAAAACAAAATAAATCTACAAGATGTAGAACCAACAAACGATGAGTTACTGACTCCTCCTCCCCATTTTCCTACTGGTTATTGAGTTGTTTTAGTGGACTTGTGTTAAGTTTTGTCTTAATTCCATCTCGAGTCAAAAATATGTCATCAATGAAGAGAGACCTTAAATGGTTTTACAAAGTAACGTTAACAGGGAAGGATGATGATGGTGATTTGAGTTGAGGTCTCATTTTGCCATTCACAAGCATGGCTCACTGCAACCTTGACCCCCAGGGTTCAGGTAATCTTTCCACTTCAGCCTCCTAAGTAGCTGAAACTACAGGGGTGCCTCACTATACTCGGCTTTTTTTTTTTTCCTTTTTGTAGAGACTGGGTCTTGCTGTGTTACCCAAACTGGTCATGAACTTCTGGGCTCAAGCAATCCTCTTGCCTCAGCCTCTCAAAGTGCTTACAAAATGATCAATTATGCTATTTCTGGAGGACAATTTGGAAAAAAATTAAAACCCTTAAAACATTTTTATAATTTTATCCGGGAATTACATTTCTAAAAATTTAGCATGTAGAGAATGATTCTGTTTTTATAAAACCTATATATAGATGAATAAATGAGACAGGCAGCAAATTATACCTACCAAAACATACATTCAGACTGCTAATGACACTATTACCAATAGGATCATGAGTGATATTCATTGTAAGTATTCCCTTCCACATAGAACAGCACAAAAATTGTTACTTACATAATCATAAAAAATAATATACATTATTTTAAATTAATTAAATTGAAAAATTCAAAAAAACAAGGAAGGAGAAGAGACTGACTCTGTATTCTTCTGTGTCAGGCATCCTTCCAACTGCTTTACCCAAATTATCTTATTTAACCTTTATTACAAACTCATAAATAATTACATATTTGCTTCTCATTTTACATATGAGAGAACTGATGCTCAGAGGCACGTAACTCAACAAAGGCCAGCTTGTTGCTTTAGAAAGTAAATTTGAACTTGGCTTCTGTCAGAATTCAAAATTCACACTTAACAGTGGCTTTGTTTTGGTCTTTTCTATAGTCTACATGTTTTGCAGATACATTCTCCCATGGCTTGTTAATCATCTACCAGACACCCAGGCATTTCTGTTTATGAGAATGCTTTAGATAGATCAAACAACAGAAGAGGCCTATTTTAGCCATTTCCTCAGTTGACTTCATGGTACTCAGTGTCATTAAGACAGAAAGTTACAGTGATTCTAACTACGGGGGATGAGACTCAGAAATGAAGCAATGGACTGCTTATAAGTGTGTCATTTGCTGAGTGTCACCAAGTCCCAGCAATACAAGCTTGGGTTTCTTTCCTACATGCCTGTGTCCAAATGACTTTCAAAAGTTGAATAGAAATCATAATAAACAAAATAATGATACACAATGAGAGACTTATGATGCTAAATCTAAAAATAAAATAAACAGATGGGATAAATATACTGATTGTAAACTTTGAAGAAATAAAGCATCTACTAGAAGAGGGAAGTGGTAGATTGAGAAGTCTGCTAAAAGAGTGAGAGAGAATTTAAAAAGATTAAAAGTAAAAGAAGAGGGAGGGGAGAAATTCCAAGAAAATATAAAGAATTTAAAAAGAGCCAAATAAAAAATATATTAATGAAAACAATTGATATTGTTTTAAATGTTGGTTTAAAAATCCTGTATAATAAAATAAAGTTATAAAAAATATTGTATGGTTTTCAGCTAAAGAAGAAAATGCTATAAACTCCAAGAAAGTTAACATTTTAGACACTCCAGAGCACAGAAATAATAAAGAGCAAAAACAACAACAAAAATACAATTGATGCTAACGTTAATGTGGTAGATAAAACCAAAAAATCCAACTTGGATACATGTTTATTTCACTTTTTTTTTGAGAATTTTCTAGGCCCAATGTGTTGTGCCACATGAACTGTTTGTTATAAACAGAAGTTTAAATGAATGTTTGTCTTCAAGCAGCTTGCAGAAATGCTGGGAAGTCAGTATGTACTATGACAAACAATGACAAAACAAGTTTGTATGTAAACACACACCAAATGATTGAAACAAATCATTTGTGCTAAGAATGTGTGATTAAAAGGTGAAAAAACTACTAAGAATTCATCATCCTCCAGCCCCTCCATTTCTCCAAGCACACACAGTATCACATGCCCCTGACCCGCTGCTCTTTTTATTTTCCTTATCTTAAAGAATGCTGCTACAGTCCTAAAACCTGTGTGTCACCTCAGATGCTTCAAATTCTCATAAGCCCCCAACACTCAGACTACGTTGTGTCTCCTCAACTGAAATCCTCCTAAATCTCCCCATCTCCACCTCATCTGCCTCTTCTCCAGTCCTGCTGGCACTACTTTCCTTAAGGCTATCTTCATCCCTTTCTTTAATTGACCATTTTTCACACTCTTTTTCTCTGGTCTCTTGCCAGAGTACTATTTTTAAAATGCCAACTTAGTCCTAGGTGCCTCTGGTCAAAATTCT